CTCTCTCTCTCTCTCTCTCTCTCTCTCTCTCTCTCTCTCATTCTTTCTTTCTTTTCTCTTTCTGGTACTAGGGATTGAACCCAGGGTGCTTAACCACCGAGCCACATCCCCAGCCCTTTTCATTTTTTATTTTGAGGCAGGGTCTCACTAAGTTGCATGAGGTTTCATTAAATTGCTGAGGCTGGCTTTGAACCTGAAATCCTCCTGCCTAAGCCTCCAGATCCTCTGGGATAACAGGTGTGTGCCACTGCACCTGGCTCTAGGGTATTTCTTACAAGTGACTTTTTTGTTATTCATCTGCCTAAATAGATATACTCCATGATGTTCCAGGTGATGCTTAGGGAAGCTACACTGAATATCACCGTTGACCTCTTACCAAAGATGCCAAACTGCTAGTCTGACAGACAGCTTCCTAAATGGGATATATTCTATTGACTTGACCAAGAACAGAGTCAAACAAACAACTATGGCCGAAATAGACTCAATACACGTATTTTGGCGTTAGCAAAGGGCTGCTGGATTTATTCTTTTACTTAGCAAACGCTGAGCTCACATCGAGTTCAAAGGACCCAACAAAACCAAACGTAGCACCAAGATTAAAAAAGTCACCCAGTCTCTTTGCACTCACACATAAGGAACTTTCTTCTCCTTTGACCATATACCACGAGACAGTGGCCCGAGAAGTTACTCTAAGAGAAAATATTTGATGTTCACATCTTCTAACACTGAAGAGGGAAAATCTGCCCAGCAACTCACAAATCAGGAAACACTTGACAGAAAAAATATGCTTGGGCAGCGTTGCTTGTTGCATTCTTTAAAAGGAAAATTGAAAACATGGGATCACAAGGGTCAGGCAGTTATTATTGGAATCCGGCTCTTATAGAACGTAATACATACCATTTCTCCCCACTAAATTGCATTACTTTGTCCAAGTCACCCGATGGGGCCCGGGATAAGGTGTCTTTCTGATGTAGATAACCATGTAGGCTTCCAGAAGCACATCCACTTAAAAGTAGGGCCTCGAAGAACACCAACAGTGACAGAAAAATGATATTTTTCTGTAACCTCGGCATCACAGAGAATAGTTCCCCAAGAAATAGTTGACCAAAAATAAAAAGGAAAACTTTATTATTAAACACATAGAGTGCTATTCAGCAAAATCTGTTGCTGAGGGCAATTTCCAAAACTGGGCCTTCTGGAGAGCCTCCTTTGGAACTAGGCTTTTAGAACCTAGAAACATTCTACAGATCAAGGTATTGTTATGACTTATTTGTGTGTAAAGAAGAGGAAAAATTTTGAATACCAAATAAACAGCAACTATCAAAGAAGTGGAGAGAAGGACACAATAAAGAACAAACCGAGCTACAGTTTCACATGAGCTTGCAATTTGAACATTTTTAAAATTTATTTTTAAAAATGTTCTTTTTAGATATACAGGACAGTAGAGTGTATTTTGACATATTATACATACACAGAGTCTAACCTTTTCATTAGGATCCCATTCTTGCCGTAGGACAGGATGTGCATTCATATATAAATATAGGAAAGTTCTGTCTGATTCATTCTACTCTTTGCCATTCCCACCCCCCCACCCTTCCCTTCATTTCCCTTTGTCTAATCCAATGACTTTCTGTTCTTCCCTCCCCATTCTCCTTATTGTATGTTAGCATCCACATATCAGAAAGAGCATGTGGCCTTTGGTTTGGGGGGACTGGCTTATTTCACTTGGCATGATAGTCTTTAGTTACCTCCATTTACTGACAGATGCCTTAATTTCATTCTTCCTTATGGCTGAGTAATATTTCATTGTGTATGTATGTCACATTTTCTTTATCCATTCATTGTTAAAGAGCATCTAGGTTGGTTCCTAGCTTAGCTATTGTAACTTGACCTGCAATGAACATTGATGTGGCTGCATCATTATAGTATGCTGATTTTAAGTCCTTTGGGGATATACTGAGAGGTGGGATAACCAGGTCAAGTTTCTGAGGAATCTCCACGCTGCTTTCCAGAGCGGTTATCACTCATACATTGCAGTCCCACCAGCCATGTAGGAGTGATAAGAGAACATTTTCTCCCACATCTTCACCAACATATATTGTTTAATACATAGTTTAACAATGTTTCTAAGGTCAGCTAGTTGCAAAATTCTGCAGATCTCATAGTTGACCTATGTAGGCTTTTAACAAAGTGTTACTTGGATGCCCTAATTCAGAAAACATCTAATGTTATGCTGGTGTTGAGAAAGCTAATGGCCAGAAACAGGAACTGAGTCTAGACTCTGGAATAGGACGCTATTATTGTAGAATCTTGAATGAAGAACATGTCTCAAGTTTCTGCCTGATCCCAAAGGATATTCCTCCTAAATGTACTGCCATCGAAAATGAAAAGGGGGCATGGTATATACATTCATGGTGGCCACATGTTTCAAGAGAGAAGAAAAGATGGATGTGGAGACAAGGAAAATCTATTTAGAAACCCATTATAACCAGGCATGATGGTGCACACCTGTAATCTCAGCATCTCAGGAAGCTGAGGCAGTAGGATCTCAGGTTGGAGGCCAGCCTCAAAAATTTAGCAAGGCCCTAACCAACTTATCAAGACCCTGTCTCAAAATAAAAAAATCAAAAAGGCTGTAAATGTGGCTCAGAGGTTTAGCACCCTTGGTTCAATCCCTGGGAAGGAAGGAAGGAAGGAAGGAAGGAAGGAAGGAAGGAAGGAAGGAAGGAAGGAAGGAAGGAAGGAAGGAAGGAAGGAACTTTATTTCTAGAAATCATCTAGAATCTCACAACTCAGAAGCAAAAGTTAGAAAAGGGATACCCATTTGGAAGAAGGTAAAATTTTCTCCTTTTCAAAGCAGAACCAGGTTACCCATCCCTCTCCCCTCTAATAGGTCTCATACATCTCTTACCTCTCTCCATGTTAAAAATGAAGCCCAACCTCTAACCAACAACAGCGTCTGCTTAGATCCCATTCCCACCCGGGTCTACATGTTCTTTTAATGTTTCATCCTCAGAGTCAGACATCCAGTAAACAGGTAACAAGCACCTGTGAGCGTGGATGCCCTAGACCTGTAGGTACTCTGAAAGTAACAAAGTGACTCTGGGGATAAGAATACGAGCTAATTTCACGTATATGAAATCCCTAGTGGCCACTCAGACAAACTTAAATTCTTCCTGAGCAGCAGGGATCCCTGAAAATCTGCTCCCCAGAGGGCTCTGTTGCAACCCCCTGGGTCTCTAGAACAAATCTCACCTTTGTTCATATCCCCACCCAAAGGCAACTGGAAAGCTAAAGCGTAGCCTAAAAATCGTCGCCATTAGAATCACCCTAGGAGCAAACCTCAGAATGCTCTCTTCAAACCTAGGGAGAGTGAAGCCCTAGGTTTGCCCAGATTGAAGAAGAGTCTATGGGATCATGGAGTACACCACAGAATGCTCCCCAGCCTCATCCTTCAGGTCCACAAGTGCCCTTTGAACTCA